AGAGAGAGAGAGAGAGAGAGAGAGAGAGAGAGAGAGAGAGAGAGAGCGCTAGTTGGGCTTAGAGGCTCAGGCCTGTTATTCCAGCACTTGAGATGTTGAAGCAAGAGGATTGTGAGTTCAAGGCTAACCTGGGATACAAAATGAGCTCATGTCTCAAAAATAAGTAGAAAACTTGGGACTGGACAGATGGCTCAGAGGTCAAGACTGTGCATGCTCTTGTAGAGGACCCAGGTTTGATTCCCAGCACACATATGGTGGCTCAGAACTGCCTGAATCTCAGGTTCTGGGGACCTGATGGAATCTGATGTTCTTTCCTGACCTTCAAAGATACCTGCATGTACATGGTATTTATAAATTCATACAAACACACAAACATACACATAAATAAATAAAATTTAAAACATAAATACAAAACAAGTATCATTAAGCCTTCTCTACTGTTCAGATCCCAAGGAAAACTTAATTTATTCAGAATAACACATCCTTCATATATTGTTCAGCACTCACATTTTTCTTAATGGAATCCTAGAAAACCAGGCCTTGGACCCATCAAGGAGGCCATCACCTCTCCTGTTTATAACCTGCTTTGCTGAATTCTCCGGTCAGGTTTCTCAGGTGTGCAGTCTTGGAGCTGGCTTAAGATTGCTTGATAGTCTTCACTTTCATAAAAGGTTTTATTACTCTGGAGGTAACTTCATACCAGGTTTATAATCTGGCCTGTCCTATCAGTATGAATTCCATCCAGCAGTGTGGGATCTTTCCCTTTACTCAAAACAGAAAAAATAACAACAATAACGAAACACCACTTAGATACCAAGCGATGAGCAATGAGGCATTCTGGGTAAGACGGTCCCAGCCTGCGGAGCAAGTTCCTGCCTTGCAAATGGAAGGGAAGGCCGGGCCTTCATCACTGGAAAGGAATGGAGGAGGCCTTGGCTGGTGCTGCCTTGTCAGAGCTGGAAGGGTGATGGAGAACCATATTAGCATTTCTGAGGACATGAGTCTGCCTCGGGTTCCTTATAAATACTGATTGACTCAGTCAGTGTGTGCCTGGCACCCTTGAGACATGAAGTGGTTACTGTTCTTTGGGGCCCTTATTGGGGCAGGCATCTGCGGCCAAGACAAATTCTTTGGGTGAGTTCCCTTTGAACTTTATTGTCATGTAGTTATTTCACCAACTTGAGAGCCAAGTGGAGTGATTCTACTGTAGGTGGTAGGGCTTAGGGGAAGAACCGGGTGTTTATATCTGCTCTGTCCCAGTGTCCTGGACCAGCTATTTCTCTCTGAAACCTGACTTCTCCTGTGAAATCAAAGCTAGTGGCCTCCACAGGCCCTCCCCAACATCTCAATCTCTGGCAAATTCTTCTTCCTCACACCATTAATTAGGAAGAATGGTCACAAAGGCCTTACCAGTCTCTGCCAGGCTTAAAGGAAAAGCTGGGTTCTCAGGCTTTGGGGACAGATATTCTCTATCCGTGGTGAAACCTGTGTACAGCTGGTGCATTCCACAGGCTTTTGGAAAAAGGAGATTCAACAGGCCCTACCTAGCTACAGCTATGGAACTGTATCCGGGGACTCTGTGTGGGCGTGTGAGCATATGTGCGTGTGTGTATTGGCTTTACATGCTCCACACAGACACTGTGGAGTCGGTGAAGGACAGGAAGTCAGAGAGGCAGGGGAGATGAAAGGAAAGCTCTGGTACTATGGTAAAAGACTGTAATAGAACAACCCATCACTGCATAACATTTTGCCTTTTGCATAGAGCTTTCACGTGCCTTGTCTTGTGGATCATGTAACAGCTCTGTCAGGCAAGGGTGTTATTTTCCTTAATTTAAACATGAAAAAACCCAGCCTTAAAAAGGTCAAGGAACCTGCCCAAAGCTACTCAGCTAGTAAGCACGGATGCTGGAATGCTGAATGCAAAGCTCATACCCTTTTTCTGTAACTCAAGTCAATCAAATGGGATCCTTTATCTCACAGGTCTACCTGTAGGTGCGAGTTTATTCTCTGCTGTGTTTTCTGGTTAAAGGGACTCGAGGATTGTTTATTGAAGCAATTACTTACATGAGGTGGAGTAATTTTTATGGGGATGATGGTTCATACCTGTCTCCGCTGCCAAATAGCTTGAGGGGGTTAGGCGTAGCAGGTGGCCAGGGAGGAAGATTTTTCTGCAGGCAGCTCAGCGGTAGGTGTGTCATAACTACACTTGCTGCTGTGTGGGCTGACGCATGGAGCTGTCAGGCTCCCACTGCAGCTCTCCATGTGGCTGAAAAAATCTCTAATTTTCAGGATACAGACCTCTCTTGTGATACAATGGGCACCTTCGCTGAAACAGTGGGGCTGGGTCCCAGAGTATTCGCTTGCAGGACCTGTGCACTCAAAGGGTTGTGGGATGGAGCTGATTACGAACGGTTTTAATGAGCAGTGCCGTGCCATCTCCAAGTCTGTTCTTACCTCATAGCGGACAACTCAGTAAAGGTTGAAGAATCTTTGCTGGGATCCGTGTCCCGGTCACCCAGTTCAGTGACTATAGAGGGCACAAGGGACCTGGCCTCGGGCCTCTGAATGGTTGGGAAGCCAGGCTGGAGACTGGCTAACGGACACAAGGCTGGTGGTATTTTCCCACAATTCCATCTCATGCCCTTCAACTTGTTCTCCTAGTTCCCTGGTCTCTCTTGTTCTGCTGGTATCATCTGTCCTAGTCTTCAGATGTCTTAAGGATGAGGTAACAGCCAGGATACATGGAGGTGCTGGGCGGGCAGAGAACAGGAGGCAGTTGTAGAACTGGTTGTAGTTGTCAGCCAGTGGTAGCCGGCAAGCATCCCAGGGTTTCTCGGGGCGTCTCTCACTGTTATCAATCATAGTTGCTAAGCCTGGGCAGGAATGCGGTGAGTGGTGCAGAGAACTGACCATTTGGCTGTCTTCCTGGTACTAGGGGGAAGGCTAGAAGCTTAGTCATCAAAGCAATTATTGATTGTCCTGAGTATGAGACAGGTGTGAGGATGAGTGGACAGACGTCACCAATCATGATGCTAAAGGCATCTTGGTGTACTGGGAGAGAGCCAGAGGAGCTGTTAAAATATCCATTCAGAGCAGGAGAGGCAGACAAGCACCTGCAAATCCCACCCTTTCCTCCCTCTCACCCAGGACAATTTTTTATCTCCAGAAAGAGCTCAAGGTCGAGGTCTTTGAATGGAATCCCAGCTAGTGCAGATGGGGTGCGCTTAGCCATCTGCATGGTCATGAGCTAGAGAAGATATTTTCCAAATAGAGATAAGGTCAACGAAGGCAAGAGGAAGACTGCTCCGCCTACGGCACCTACTCTGCTTCTAGACACCACTATGCTAATGTTCACAGTAGTAATTAATGGTACACCCTACCCTACTCTACCATCGATGCCCATCTTTAGTGCTATTGTGTCTGGCTTTGTTAGGGGAAGCCTCAAGAGTGACATGAACTTGTCTTGAAGATCAGGTGGGTGACTGACCGGCACTTAAAGACTGGGATTGCAAGCAGAGGGAGCACCATGTGCAAAGGCCCACAAAGGCAATAGCTTGGGATGGACATGAAATTTCAGGGGAGCTTGAACCAAGAAGGCGTGCAGAGGTGTGGGGGAGGGGGGAGATGAGAAGGTTCTCCTCCACACCACATCTCCTGCTTTGACTCTTCTTGCACACTGCAGAAGTCTTTAAAGACCTGTGTAGCTTGGCTGATTAGGACATGATAGAATGGACTGTGAGCTTAATCCTTTCAAGGGCCAGGAAAGTCACTGTGCTCCACTCTTATGGGCTGTGCTTGGAAGTTCTGTTGTAACAGTGCCATGTTGGGGAAAGGAATGGGCACACGTGCACTTTGTAGCATGGGTGAGTGTGTCATCTGCTCTTCGTACTCCAGAGTTCTTCATCGGTCCTCCTGTCCTGTTCCTTCTCCATCCCCACTCCCTCTCTCTGACTCCTCTAACCAGTCTTATTTTGCAAAGGCCTGATTTTTTTCCACCCAAGATGTCAATCCTTCTAGCACATTCATTGAAAAAAATAATATTTTTAATATTTTTATTGATGTGTGTGTTTGTGTGTGTGTATGTGCATGTGAGCACAGGTGCCCAAGGAGACTAGAGGCATTGGATCCCCCGGAACTGGAGTTACAAGCAGTTGTGAGCCAGCCAACATGGGTCCTGAGAACATAACTTGGGTCCTTTGCAAGGGCAATACATGCTCTTAACAGCTAAACTGTCTCTCTGGCTTCAACATGCTCATGGTAAAGAGACCCCCTTTTCTTGAGTGTTAGGGACAGGTGGTTACAGAGCATACATTTGTCAAACTGGTCTTTGTCCTCAGAATGGTTTTCCCTCCACTAAATCCTCTTCAAGGTCCCTTGTCTGGGACAGAAATGACAGTTTGACACTCCATTGTCTCCGGGCTGTAATCTAGCTCTCTGCATACCCAGTGGGTTATGTATTAGTCAACTCTCTGTTGCTATAACAAAATACTTGAAGTTGGGTGCGTTACTTTTTTTTTTTCTGCTGCTGTGTGCTAAAATACCCTGACACAAGTAATTTAAGAGAGAAAGGGCTTATTTTGACTCACAGTTTAAGAATGTAGCCCATCACAATGGAACATCATGGTGGAGAGGCTTGAACCAGCTGGTCACAGTATGTCCTTCAAAGGCATAGAGGCATACATGTGCCTAGATACATTCCTGTTTTTATCCAGTCCAGGTCTCAAGCCCAGTGGGTGAGGCCACCCTCCTTTAGGTTGTCTCTTCTCACGTAGACTATACAGTTCCTCACAAGTGTGCTCAGAGGCTTGTCTCCTAGGTAATTTTAAGTCCTATCAGGTTAATAATTACAATTAGCCATTACACTGGGTAACATACCCAGAAAAAAAGATATTTGTTTTATTCATAGCTTTGGAGGGCCCTGTCTATTCTGCCTTTGGTGAGGGCTCCTGTATATGACACTGTGGAAAAAGCGTGAGAGAGAAGTGGAGCTCACGTGGCAAGACAGTGCCAGAGAGACTCGGGTGACATGCCCATCTTTTAAACTTTCTTTCATAGGAACTGACTCTACAAAACAACTTCCAAGGACCCACTAAACCTCTCCTCTTAAAGCCTCTTACCTTTGAATGCAGCCTTTCAACTGGAGGTCAGACTTCTAGGGCCTGAACTCTTGGAGCATGTTCAAGGCATATCTAAACCATAGTAGTTCAATGAGGACTTGCCAAATCAGGTCTCCTCTAGGGCCTTCCCCAGGCTTCACGGGAGGCTATTAGCTGCCTACTTCAAGGACCATAGTGGGGAGGATAGGGAGATAGGATGTGCTTCTAGGGCCCTGGGATCTTATCCAGTCCAGTCACCTGTGCTAAGAATAGCTCTGGGCAGTGGGCCTTGTCTTTTTGGGCCTGGCTTAGGTCTTCTCAGAACTTTCTAGAACCATGTGAAACTGTGGAAGTCCATCTGGATTGAGCCGGTTTTCTGGTGAGGCACCTCCACGTGAGCCCCACATTTAGCTCCCTGCGACAGAGCCATTTCCCCTGTCAACAGGTCCTTCAGCCCACATGCCTCTCCAGCAGCTCCTCCGGCATTCACTCACGTCAAAGGGATGACGCACGTGACACAGTCGAGTGCGGATTCATTTGGGCCGTCACCTAGCAACGCCTAATGGCTCCGCTGGTTCTGAGTGAGCTGAGAGCTCAAAGAATGCTTTTCAGGCATAGCCTTCTCCCACCCACGCAGGACTTGGGGGCCTCTTCCCCTGCCAACGCTGCAGAAGCTGAAAGATACATGCAAAACAATTGCAGGACAAACGACAAAGAAGAGGCTGCCACTGGCAGGCCTCTTCTGGGCGTTCTCAGTTCCCGGTGCACAGCCACGAGTCTCAGGTTGAGCCTGGTACTGTAGTCCACATTCAGTTACATTCTAAAGCACATGTGTGTGGCTGGGAAGAATAGTTAGCACTCTCATCCTGACCTTCCCAGGATAAGAGGGTCTATTCCCAAAAGTTCCCAGCTCTTCCCAGCATGAAAGTTCCGGCAGGGTTTCAGCCTTTGTATTTGACAGTGAAGAAGTGTTTCTTTATGTCTTGAGTTAGCCTGGAGCCTAACTCAGGGACATTCCTTTCTGCAAAAATATATGTTTTTCATTATAAAGTAATATGACCACATTACAAAAAACAGATACAAGAGGGGGAAAAAGTAAAGCCATCTATAATCCCACGACCCAGATGAGCACTGGCAGCAACTACTTTATCTCCGTTGTCTGTTTTGCTTCCAGACCATCTGCTTTTTCCATACTCGTAATCATGGCATACGTACAGCTCTGTGTCCTGCGCTTTTACTTAATATCCCCTCAAAGTTATACATAAGCACTTTTTCATCTTTGCCACACAGTCTTGTTTTTAATGGCTATACATTGTAACCAAAGACTAGACCGTTTCCTTTCATCCTATCCAGCTCTGTCTGGGATGGTGGGTTTGGGGATCTACTTGCCAGCAGAAAGCTCATCATTAGTTTCTTCTCTCTACTCCCTCCCCTTCTCCAGGGACCAAGTTTTTAGGATTAACGTCAGAAATGGAGATGATATCAGAAAACTGACTGAGCTAGTGAATTTGGACCACTTTAAGGTACGGGGTTCTAAGGTTGTCCTCTTGAATGTTCTGAGTTTGAGGGGGAACAGATTCCCTGTAAGTTTTCTATTCATAATGGAGTCTTAGTCAACAAGCCATTCACACGAGCAAGAGGGAACGCAGGAGAGAGGGCCGGTGGAACTCAGTTCTGTAGCTCTATTAGATGGGGGGCCTGAGCCTCGGGCTCCCTACCTGTAGCAGCCCTCGCTGTTCCTTGAGCGTTGCCAGGGACTGATTGCTGGGCAGATCTGATCAGCTATGTCTGTGAAATGGGCGATGTTTGCCCTTGGGCAGGACTTAGGGATCATTCTGGCTTTTGACAGTGATTTTACCCGAACGGTCTTTTAACTCGATTGTGTCTCTGCTGTCCTCAGCTCAATGTCTGGAAATCTCCCTCCACTTTTGATCGGCCCGTGGATATTCTCGTCCCTTCTGTCAGCTTGCTGCCAGTCAAGTCCTTCCTGAAGTCCCAGGGTTTAGACTACTCGGTGACAATTGAGGACCTACAGGTGGGTAGGCCAGGGAGTCCTACTAGTCTTGCCTGAGACTAAGGCACTAATCTGATCAGGCCTGGGAGATTTAAAAATGTCTGGCGTCAACCTTTTCAGCTCCCAGGTGAAGAAACAGAGACAGATGGAAGCGGAGAGTAATAACCTGCTTCAGGAAGAGTGTGTTACATAGATAGGGGACTACACCGATCTGTATCTGAGTCTTGACTTTGCTAACCATTAGTGTGTGTCCTTGGGCAGGCGTTTGCTTCCATGAGGCTTCATCACTGCTTAAATGGTGATCATGATTAGTATTTCAACTATTTATCACGGCACTGCTTCCATTAACTATATATAATGCATCAAACAGTAGTTGGCACACCATACATTCTTCAGCAGCTAATCATTCATGCTCCCTTTTTGTATTTGAAGTTAGAAGGCAAGAGTGTCTGTGTGGGCTACTGGGAACTAACTAATCAGGAGAGGTATCTTTTGAGAAAGGGAGAATGTCACCCACAGCTCCCAGCAGAGGGAACATTGCCATCCAGCCCCACAAACCTGTATTGAACAGCAGGACGGCATTTCTGGCTCACACACTCTCTCCCTCACCGAGGTGGGTTCTGGACTAATTGGTGATTTGGCCCAGGATTTTCCTGATGGTGTGAGCAGCTGTGAGTTTATTAATCATCCTCACATGTCACAGACATCTGCCAGGAACCTTCAAAGTATGAGTGGTTATAAGAATTTCTTTGTTTCTCAATGCTTTCCTAAGCTGTGTGTTTCAGAAGCGCTGGATACCGAATGCAAGCCAATGTCTAGAGATTTCATACTACAGAAATGTATAGAGATTCCATACTATATAAACTATAGAGATTTCATACTATAGAAAAGCATATGTTACTTCCAGGGAGCAAGAGGGGTTTGAATGAAATAATGTAAATCAGATATCAAAAGTAAAGTTATCTATCTATCTTTCTATCTATCTATCTACCTACCTACCTGACCCCCCTTTCTTAAATGAAAGGCAGAATGGTTTATTATTATTTTTAATTGTGTCACACTGTGATGATCAACACACACAACTCTTTACTGAGTGTGAACATTGCACTAGTTTTGTGTCCTGAAAAGTTTCACTAGAACTAAGACTGTTAGGGAATAAAGACCTTAAGCAGATGTTAGCACAGGTAATTCCATTGTCCTACCCCACAGAATTAATACAAACCCCTTGAAAATTAGTAACACTACAGTGTTATGTAGTTAAGACGAAAGCAATTTTAGACATAGGCAGCATGAACTCATGCTCTTTTGAATTGTAATTTTCGGCGTCTGTAATTTAAGTGCTCTGGCCCTCTGTAGACCTTGGACACTTGTGTTGTCTGTTATACTTAGGATGCCTCCATCTTGGCTGGCCCATCTAGCCAGATGAGTTAGCTTTCCAGGGGTTCCTTCGCCATGTTGCTGTATCTGATTGGTTTCTTTTTATAGGCCCTCTTAGATAGCGAAGATGAGGAAATGCTGCATAATGAAGGAAGAGAGCGGAGTGGTGACTTCAACTACGGATCTTACCATTCCCTGGAGGCCGTGAGTGTTTTTTTCTAAGCAGGTTTAAGGCCGACATTCTCTGCTTCCTGAATTTTGGAATCTCTCTCCTCACATCTACCTTCAGTATGGTATCACTTCACAGAGGAGCTAAAACATATCTGCTCTAATTCCTTCCCCAATGGTTGCCTAACTCCACCAACACTCAAGTGCCTTCGAAACACAGCTGCGGTTTCCCCTGTAGAAACCCTGTTCCAGCAGCTCTCTAAAGCAAACCAGGATAGAATGGCAGCTTTTCCAGTCCTTGTAATTCAACCTTCTCCCCTCATCAGAATCCCTGGCACAGAATAAAGTGCCATTTACTCCAGGCCAGCAGACAGGCAGTTATTTCCAAGGTTAACCAAATATTTCCACTCATTTATCATGACTTCTCATAACGTATATTTGTTCCACAATGCAATTTGGTGCTGTGTGCAGTTAGAAACCGCTTTATACAGATGGCTTTCAAGGTAGGCCAAACTTCCAAACAAAAAACTTGGAGCTGAATCATTTCATATGATACTGGAACTTGAGAAATCAGAAGGGACCACAGAACGGAACAGCCCTGTTCACGATGCAAGTCTCTTATGTCCCAAGCGTCTCTTTCGTTAGTTTGCAGACTTTACTAGCTTGGGACCTCCCTCCCAAATCGAAATGGCTATTCTCCCTCCTCTACCTTAATACATACTGTTCCTTACGTGCAAACATCATGTTCCTGGCAAATTTTTCAAGAGATGTAGACTTTAAGTTGTTTTTCTTCTAGTGGAGGGATTAGTTCAAAGGCTGGCCAACTATTTCTACTTCTTTCCCATGACTGTCAGTAGCTTTGCTTACTGTGTACACTTCCAACCGCACTGCCCCTTGATCCCTCTTGTGACCAGTGACATACATCTGCAAAACAGCTGGGTAAAGTTAGGCGTTCAGTTCAGTCCCAGGCCATGGACGAAAGCAGAACTCAGCCCACACAGGGATTAAACCTGTAACCTTAGGTTCATTAATGTGGAGCCCTCCTGAGCTGAGCTAACTAGTTACAAATGTCACCCAGGGACCAAGAGAGGCCATCTACTTACCTTATCAGCTGTCTGTCTCACTTTTGCATCCGCTACCTTCTATCCTCACTGACTTGGGTGCTCCTTGGAAGGAGACCTCCTGCTAGTTTTTGCTTCCAGAGGCTTGTTGCTGTCTGTGCCTTTTCTCTCCTGGCCAGCTTATTTGGGGTTCTTCCTAAAACCAATGCTAAATAGCTATGACCACGCAGGCTTTTTAGATCTCCAGTGGGAATTCTACATTTGTTTCTGCCAGGGCTTCTGGTTTCAGGTCCTTTGTGTGATGATGGTTGGCATCTGAATTTGTATCCCACATCAGGGTACAGCTTGAAGGTTTTTAAAAACAAAGTTTCTATCTATCTATCTATCTATCTATCTATCTATCTATCTATCTATCTATCTATCTATCAATCATCTATCTGTGTGTAGGTGCTAATGTGGAAGTCAAGAGGACAATTAATTTTCTCCTCCCACCGTATGGGTGCCAGGAATCAAACTCAGAACCCATGTTGTGAGGTTTGGTAGCAAGTGCTCTTACCTGCCAATCAAAGGTCCCAGCCTGGCTGGTTGCCTAGCTTCCTCCTCTCCTCTCCTCTCCTCTCCTCTCCTCTCCTCTCCTCTCCTC